GGGGTTTGAGGAGCGTGCATTTATAGTTGGGAGTCGTGAGACGGTAGCAGATGGTTTTTGTTACGGAGCCAAGGAGTTTTGGTCCCTTGTTAATATGCATCCGCAAGGATCTTGGTATGGCTGATGTTGTAGATTACTCATGCTAGATACTGTTGTAGTGTAGTTTAGTAAAGTCTTTAATTAAGAATTAAGGGTTAAGGATTCGGATTCTCTCCACCATCTAAAAAGTAGTAGAGGGACCACTACATAATCACAATCATTAATTATCTAGTTGGTGGTTGTGATTTTTTCTTTGAGTGCAAATTAGGAATGAGCGCAATACACGGGGGTATGGTGAGTATTAGATTTAGATTGTATCATAACCGGCTACTAAGTAATTAATGATTGAGATTAAAAGTAGTGGTCTCTCCACTACTTTTTTGTAGTGGAGAGGATCCAAATCCGTTATTTCGATATTAACCCCCCAAATCTTCAATATAACAATATTAGCCCCCTAAGTCTTTGAAATTAATCTCAGGCCCCCAAATCTTCAATTTAACTTATACCCATCAACTTATCTAAATCTGTTCAATAAAATTGTTATGGTAATCTACCATTTATCAACAAAAATGATTAGAAGATTGTCTCCATGAGCCTAATGGAGTCACAATTCAAATTGACTCACTGAAAAGCCTAGCCAAAAGCCAAACGCTTTAGCCGACACGAAACACGGAAGCAGTCGGTCCTTCGCCTTTAAGGTGACTACTCAGGAGTCCACCCAACTCCCAATCGAGACGACTCCTCCAGTGGCGAATCGGCTGTCTACCGAGCTGTCTGACGGAGCTGACGACTCACTTAACTAGTCAACAAGTTACGAGAACGACCCGCCTTCCAATACAATCCTGCTGGGGAAGATAAAGATCCGAGTCATCCAACTAAGCTATTTCCAAGATATACATCAATCAACCACAGTATTGATCAATCACATCAAAAGTCTCAAACTCTGACGAAGTCTTAAATGCAAAGACGACTCATTCTATTCCCAAGTCACTTATGGGACGTAATCAAGACACCCTCTGAGCTCAGACGACCTTTTCTCCAGTCGCCAGATGCGATCTGTGAAGCAATGAGTGGTTAGATCGGTCAGCCTATCTTCCCTTTATCATTATCCGTCAAACCTGGGACGTTATCGAGGCGCCTTCTGTACTCTAGTGTCTCACCCTCCAATCACTAACCGCCATCTATAAAGATAAGGGCGACTCAGCACCTCGCCGTATTCTCAGCCATACGCCATCTAATCAATCCTGGGGCCTTATCAAGTTCATCTCGAAATAGTATCTCTTCCAGTCGTCAGCCGACACGTGAAAGGACTACTGCTGACTCAGCACCCAGCTCATCCCCTACCATCGTCCTCAAACCCCTGATGAAGCCATGTGTCTATCCTCAACAGCCTATAAAGAGAAAGGGAAAAGAAGGGGACAGGGAGAGCGCTCTCTTTTTTTGGACTCAGGTTCTTTGAACTCAAACAACTAAGAAGTCATTCTTTTCTTCAAGTTGCTTAAAAATAAATTCTAAAATGAGAATGTACCCTGCATGGACCTCAATAGCTCAGTGACTCTCTGCAAAACCTCCCTCAAACTCATCCTCTAACTTGATCGTTGGAGGAACCACGGGGTAAACACGCCCCGTACCCCCGACGTTCCTTGTGTGTGCAGGCCATCAATCCACCATGTGCGCTCAGAGCTAGGCATAAAGTCGGAGGAGGAGTCGGCCCCTTTATCCTTTATCATCCTCCCTCGGTAGACAACCTCCCTCCTATTGGCTGTGTGATTCCAGACATCAACAAAAACCCTAACTCAAACCTATTTTTCACTTCATCTTTTCCAACATCTTCCCTAATGAAAATCTATCCATTGCAAATTTGGGATCATGGTTAAAGAGAGTCGTCAGGGAAGATGTTGGAGAAGATAAAACGGTTAATAGTTTTAAATTAGGATTATTAAATGAATTTGCGTACAAATTAAAGGGATTAATGAGTTTAGATTTGTGCGAGAGCGGTACAACTATCAAATCGCCGAAAAAAATTAAAGTAAATAGCATATCCCCCCAATTTCAACCAGATTTTAACTGGGAGCTTTACTTCAACATCCTAATAGGAGTTGGAGGGTTTGAGATTTCAAAGTTTTGTTTTCTTTTTTTGGGGGGTGGGGGGTATATTTAAATGTTGAAGATTATGGGTGGCTGGGTGCGTGGGGGTGGGTGTGGGGGGGGGGGGGGGGCTGAGAGCAATTTCTAAGATGTGGGGGGCTAATATCAAAATATTAAAGATTTGGAGGGTTAATATAGAAATAACCCTAACATTAAATATCTCTGGGAATTAAACCATCAGATATCTCGCAATTTTTATTTTTATTTTATTCTATTTTATTATAGGTCTTTTTTTTGGAAGAACAACGAAGGAAAACCCCCATTAAACCAAAAATAAACCAAGCTTCACGAAAAGCATTATCATATAGCAACATCTTGCTCCTGACATTCTGAAAAATGAACTAGCAAATCACATATGGCTTCTTTCCAAGAACTGCATGACCAAGATTCTGGTTGACAAGAGCACCCCGCCCCCCCCCCAACCCCAACCCCAACCCCAACCCCCAAACCAAAAAGAAATTTATAATTTACCTATACTATATAGTCTGTAGACTATATAAATAGAATGAAATAGTCTAAGTTGATCTCAAACAAAGGAGAGAAAAAAAATATGAGAGCACTACTCTGTATATATTAATTAGAATAAAAACTCAAACCCAGCCATCGAAGGTTATATCACTTCGGTGCTATTGCTCACGAAGAGTGAGGTCATGATGACCCACCATTTAAAAATTATAGTAGTGGGTCATCATGACTTTACTTTTTTATGAATGATAATGTTAAAGTAGTGTAAGACCATTTTCAACCCATTGTACCAAAATGGTGCAAATTTTGCATTAAAATTGTGCAAAAGTCACATCAAACAGTAATACATCTCCAACCCATTGCACCATTTTTTGCATCAAAAAAGAATATTCACAGAATATTCTTAGTTTATTTCCTTTTATCTATTTTTATATTAATTAAGAGGTAAAAATAAACATTTAAAAATGTTTAAAAAATGAACAGTAATGGGACGGATGAACAGTGCAACGCCATATTTGGTGCAGCACTGTTCAACTGCACCAAAATGGCGCAGAAAATGGGGCTGGGTTGGAGAATGAACAATGCAACAAAAAGCACTGTTTGCACCATTTTGGTGCTGGGTTGGAGATGCCCAAAGGAAGCAATACACTTATCACTGCTTATAAAAAAAAGGCGTGGAGCCCACTGTATATATTACAAATATGCACTTGAGATGCCCTTCACAGCTTCTAGTTCTTGGCTTGGAATTTTTCGGTTTTTAGTCCCCCAAATCTCTCATACTTCAGAAGTTGTTTCTCAAATTTTCATATTTTGCCTAGTGCCTCAGAACTTTTAAGTGTTTTGAAATTAGCCCTCAAATCTTCATATTTTGAAAATAGTCTGGCATATCTTTTAAATGTTATGAATTAGTGCCTCTAATTAGCATCGGCTTGAATGATTAGGGGGGCTAATTTCAAAGCAATAACAAATTTGGGGGACGACAATCATAGTTATGAAAAGGTTGTTTACAAGCTTGAGGTGCTTCAGATTTTGGACTAAATTATTATAATCTTTCATTTGTGATTATAATTCCATATCTGTTGGAATTTACAATTAATTTCATGTTTTGTTCTCTTGCACACACGATTCATGTGGATTCTCAATCAAGCTCGATGTAAAGAAGGAAACGATTAAAATACAAATTGAAGATGTACGTTTTCATGGTAGAATCCACAACTTAAATCAATCTCTAAAACAATAATAGGCCATGAATTGGTGACAACTCATACAATGAGTGTGATCCTAGGCGCAATGAGTGCGATTCAAGATGCAAAAGAAGCAGATTAATTAGTATGCTATTATCACGTGGTATAGATGCAAAAGACGTCTCATAATAAAAGATAAATCACTAGTAACTGCAATGAACACAATTTAGACTTCAATCTAGGTGCTTAAAAAGGATTCATATTTGAATTTACAATTAAAGTTGATTCAAAATGGTGATAAATTGAGATCTTGGAGTAAATTGATTATTGAATTAATGTCAAACAGAAAATGAGATCTGAATAAACATTTGATACGTAGAAAGCTCCTCACGAAGCCCTCAAACGAGATCTGTATAAGAATCTGACACACAGAAATTTCCTCTCGAAGCCCTCACCTTTGAGGTACTGGGCCCGGGGACTGTTCTGAGGCTAGATTACCCGATCACTCCGCCTAAGATTAGATGGAAATATTATGCGCGACGTGGAATGTGGGGACTGATGCAGGACATGTTACGGATATAATTATGGAGAAACGGGAACGTCAAAAGCTCAAATGACCGGAGAAAATAATTTGCAACAAAAAACATGTCATATGTATATCGTATATTTTTTCGAGACGAAATCAACCAAACCTATCGTTGTTCTGTTTGTCACGGTCTGTTTCGCGAAATTCCCTCCGGATTGAGAGATATTAGCGTTTTTATTAGTTTTTAACTGTTTTAGGTAATGTTTTAGGAGTCTGTTTTAATTAGAAAGCAAATCCGGTTTGATTCTAAATTAGCAAAGTATTGTAAGACCTAGAGACATGATCTTTTATCAATAAACTCTCTTTAATATTTTCTTCATGAATTTGAAGTCCTTCACAGATTCTGACTCCGACTAAATAGCTGCATTGAAAACTTTTACACAAAAACCGGGAATATTTACTCCTCTCGGAGCCTCCGCATCTCTGCGGTAGTGGGGCCGGGGTCTTCCCTGACTCCGACTAAATAGCCTCCGCATCTCCGCATCTCCGCATCTCGTTCACCTCGTAAAGTTAGGTGGCGAGAGCTAACTAGTTTCAATTTATAAAGTGCTCTATCAAACAAACCACGGGCGATGTGATACTAAAAGGTTGCTCAAACCTTTATATAATAGTCGTTCACTGAAACCATTAACATCATAGCTGCATATATAACTTCATTAGTATAGTTTCTACATGCACACTACTTATTCCTAGTAGCTAAATTACATGAAAATTAATCATAAGCTAAGCTTTGATGTTGGCAAGCTGGGTGTTCTTGAAAGAGTTCTTCCTTGCTGATGCCAAGACCGTCTTGTCTGCAACTATGAAATAAGCAGCTCCGGCAACTGCACAGTTCATTCGCAAATATTTCGTCATTTATCAAAGCGAAGGAAAATAATAAACAGCTCTAAGGACAATAGTTGATTAGAAATAAAGTAAATTAACCTGTGGAGATAATGAGAGCTTGAGCAGTGTGATTAAGGTTGTATCTTGCCCATGGCAGCATTCTCACACTAGCCAACTGCATCCAAATAATAACAATTAGTCCTTCTGCTAAAATCATCGAAAAAGAAACAAAAATCGATAAAAATCGACTTTCGCTAAGAGAGTTAAGAGCTAGGTGATTACAGTAGGAATGGCAGCTGCGACACTTGCAACAACTGCAGCCTTGGCACCAGCAACTACTCCTTCTGCTCAACATAAGATCAAAATATGCGCTGATTAGCTTAAGAAATTAATGTAAGATGATAATATTAGGAAATTAATTTAGTTAGTTAATTACCATGAGAACAGCGTTTGGCAAGGGCAAGCTTCTGATCAAATTGGGTGACTGAACCCATATCCTTGAGCTTAGTAATGAAAAACTGAAGGAGGATATAAAATCACTAATGTGACCGCAAGGTTTGAGCGATTCTGATGCATGATTTGAGTGATCTGTGTATTTATAGTTGAGAGAGTGGGTGAGCAGCTGATGGTTTTTGTTTTGGAACCAGCGAGCTGAGGTCCCTTGTTTTATCAGGAGTGCTCCTCATATGTGGTATTTACAAAATACCCCTGGTTTTTGCAAATGGATATGAAAAAGGTGCTGCAGAAGAAAACCACGGGTTAAGTGTCGGTTATGTTGTGACACCTTCTGAGTGGACTACTGTCGTCACGTGTGATGATGCTCCTCAAGGATCAGTCGTAGCTAGGTGATGTTGTAATATTATTCTTACTTCGTATACTGCTGTTAAGAAAAATCTTTAATTTAAAACTAGGCTAAATTGCAAAAGTTAGAGAGAGTGAGTCTTGGATAAATTTCTCCGTAAGTTGAATATTGAGTGTGCACATATATTTATACAAGTAGAGAAGGGTGAGGTGTGTTTTCACAACCAATGTGGGACTAAAAACCCACTACTAACACTATTATCAACAACCGTCCTCAAACTCATGTTGGATCAAACAAAGTGAGTTTGCGTACAAGAGACTAAAACCGATGAACAGATAAGGTCTTTGTGAAGAAATATGCAAGCTCGTCGGCGAATGACACATGAGGAAGTAGAATTATCTTATCATTGATAACTTGTTGACGGACAAAATGAGCGTCGATCTCAATGTGTTTGGTCCTCTCATGAAATACTGAATTATTAGCAATCTGTATGACACTCTTATTATCACAGTATAGAGAAGTAGGAGTCGAAATAGAAATACCAAAATCACTGAGAAGACGACGAAGATGAATAATTTCTTTAGCTGTTGTGGACATTGCACAATACTCTGCATCAGTACTGGAAAGAGCAACAACATCTTGTTTCTTACTCCGCCAGGAAATTAGAGAATCACCAAGAAATATACAATAACATGGAGCACTAACAATGCCAACAACATGAGAGATATCTGATCGAGAGATGCACAGATAGACCAACTGGCCAACAAGATGTTGATATCGGTAGGATCAGATAGAGGCTCACCATCAGTAGAGAGAAGTTTGATATTCTATTAGAGTGAAGTATCGATAGTTACATCATCAGTTAGCTCAGCTCGATCTAGAATATCCGAGATATACTTTTGTTGAGATAGTAGTACACCTCATGGGCCTTGAGAAATTTTTAGACCAAAAAAAATACCGAAGAGATCCAAGATTCTTCATGTGGAACTGTTGTTACAATTAAGATTATATGTATTGTATATCAGTCACATCATCACCTGTAATGATCATATCATTTACATAGATGAGTAATAAAACTCTGTCATGCGATGTAGTGCGAACAAACAGATAAGCATCTTGATGACTTTCCATAAAGCCCGCCTTGAGCACGACGTCGCAAAAATACTCAAACCAAGCGCGGAGTGCCTGCTTGAGACCATAAACAGCACGGCGAAGGAGCCATACATGTTCCGGAGGAATATTGGACCCTGGAGACGGTTGCATATATATTGTCTCAGATAAAGAGCCATGAAAAAAGTATTTTTGACATTCATCTGGTATAAGGGCCAATGATGAGCAACAGCGACCGCAAGAAGAGTACAAACGATGAGCATCTGAGTAACAGGAGCAAAAGTCTCCTCATAATCAATAATTTGTTGCTGAGTAAAACCTCGAGCCACTAAACGAGAACGTTCAAATGTGTCATCATGACGATACTTGACCTTATAAACTCATTTACTGTCAACTAAATAGATGTCAGGGGAACATGAAACAACATCTCAGGTATGTGTTTGCAGAAAGGCTTGAAATTCCTCAGCCACATAGCATATCACCATTCTGAATATTGAACGTTCTCTTGAAATTACTTTGGCTCAATTGTAATATGAATGGCAGCAAGAAAATTATAAAAGATAGATAAATAGGAAGTAACCGAAGCATTCTGTGCAGACATGACATGTGAATGTTTGCCTTGACGAAGAGCAAGAGGAACCTCAGGCTAGGAAGATATTGGCGCAGGTGCATGGAGGTTAACAATATTTTCTAGAGTGGGTGTCGTGTCTACGGGATAGGGATCAGATGGTGAAAGAGAAGGCTCAGGTGAGGGAGAGTCGACAGAAGGAGATTGAGAAATTTCAGGGAGATTTTGAAAGGAGAACTGAGGTAAGAAAGTGGGTGATGCAGCTAGCGGAGAAGCACGATCAGTAGTGTGGAAGAAATTGAAATCATCGAAAGCAAAATAAAATGGAGAATCCTCTTCGATCTAAACATGTCAAGATATATGAACTCGACGAGATGCGAGATCATAACAACAATAACCTCAATGTTCTGAACTAATTCCTAAACATACACAGAGAACAGGTCTGGGAGATAATTTATCACGTTCGTGAGATGACAGAAGTACGAAATAGTGACAACCAAAAACACGGACCAGATCATAACGGGAAGGATGAGTATAAACATGACTATGAGGAGTAGCACCAAAAAGAGAGCTAGATGTAGTGATATTAATGGCATGAGTAATAGTGAGAATGACATCAGTCCAGAAACGACGAGGATCAGAGTAAGAAATAAGCATGGATCGAGCGGTATCGAGAATATGATGATATTTGTATTCAACAATACCATTTTACTCATGAGTGTAGGGACATAACTATTGAAAAATAGTCCCATGAGAGGACATGATAGAGGATAGGTACTCGGCACAGTCAGAATGAAAAACTTTAAAACGAGCTTGTCATTGAGTGAAGATCATCGCAGTGAAGACTTGATAAGCAGCAAGTACGTCAGAGCAATTTTTAAGTAGGTAGGCCCATATATAACGAGAGAAATCATCAATAAAACTAATATAATATAAGTAGCCAGATGAAAAAGACAGAGGAGTTAGCCCCCAGATATCAGAATGGACCAAAGCAAATAAGAAAGTGGAAACAGATGTACTGGTTGGAAATAGTAGGGCAGTGAATTTAGCCAAATTATAACTAGTACATGACTCAATATGAGAACAAAAGGATACAGGACCAAGTACTCCGGACTGGACAAGACTTTTCAGCCTTTTATGAGACACATGACCAAGCCGTCTATGTCACAAATCTACGAAAAGCAAGGTAAAGGATTTTGGACTTAGAGAAGCAACAAGAGAATGTGGACGTATGGACTCTGAAAGGTGAGGATATTCCCGAAAATACAGTTTGTTTCTCCTCCGACCGGCCCCAACAGTCTTGCCCGTCTATAGATCCTGCACAATATAAGTATCAGAAGAAAATAAGACAAGTAGGTCATCCATACATAAGGAGCTAACGGAAATTAAATTCAAACATAACTGAGGATCCACATAGACGGGACCAGGAGTTAGACGACCAGATGGGTCAGTCTGTAGAGTGATACAACCATACCGAGTGATAGATAAAGGTTATCCAGTAGCCGTGTAGATAGTGGGATGAGAAGAGGAAGTAAAGACAAAAGATAAGAGGGAGACATTATGGGTCATATGAAAGGAACAACCAGAGTCAAAAATCCAGTGATCATTCGTACCAAAGACCAAAGGGTTGGCTGAAGAACCAGCAAGACGCATACCAGAGAGTTTTGCAGTAGATGCAGAGGCTCTATGCTGAAGAGCATCAATTTGATGGTGAATATCAGAGAGTTATGCAGCAGATGGAGAGGTGGTATGCTGAAGAGCCGCAATTTGACGGCTAATATTTGCAATAGCTTGAATAGCCTCAATTTGACGGCGAATATCAGAGAGTTTTGCAACAGATGGAGAAGTGGTATGCTGAAGAGCCGTAATTTGACGGCTAATATCTACAATGGCTTGAATGGTAGGGTCTGAAGTGGTAAATGACATAACATTGACCGGTAATCCTGGTGTCCTAGAGGATCGGACTGAGGGGATCGTTGACTATGGCCAGTTCCTGAGAAACGTAACTCAGGATAAAGCTGAAAACATATCTCAAAGTGGTGTCCCTCCTTCTTACAATAGGTGCAAAAGAGTTTAGACCGAACCTGAGAAGCAGGTGCCAATGAAGAGGCCATAATAGCAGCAATTCAAAGTTCAAGATAATAATCCTTGAACGAAACCCGAATGTTTAAAGGAGAACCCGAGGTTAATGTAGAAACCCGAAGATTAAAATGACTATCAAATCTGAGAAAAAAGAAGCAACCAGCGACCAAGGTGGCCCGAAGATCGGCGGGATCTGATGCTCATGCCGGAGACCTATAACGGATTAATGTCGATGTTGAGACGTTGAGACGTCGAGATGGATTGAAACAGCGATGTCGTAACTGACTATGAAACGGCAATGTCGTTTGTTTGAGGCCGAGAGACGGCTTGAAACGGCGATGTCGTTAATTTGAGACCGAGAGATGGTCTTGGAACGAAGATGCCGTAAATTTAAGACCAAGAGATGTTCTTGAAACGATGATGCCGTAAATTTGAAATCGAAAAACGATCTTGAATACGAGAACGAAAACTCGTTAAGAGGCCGCAAAGCAGCAAGACCAAAAATCTGACAAAGGCATTTAAACGGTTACAAAGAAGCAAGGCCAATATTTGGCAAAAGAACGCAGAAGCGTTAAAAAAATTACTGGAAGGAAAATAATAACTCTAGTTCTAATACCATGTTAAAGTAAGAGAGAGAGAGAGAAAGAATCTTGGGTAAATTTTCTCTTAAGTTGAATATTGAGTGTGCACATATTTTCATACAAGTAGAGGATGGTGATGTGTGTTCTCACAACCAATGTATGACTAAAAATCCACTACTAACACTATTATCAACAGCAAAAAATATCACAAACTTTCACGTTTCGATAATTAAATATCACAAGTTGCATTTTGGTATAACAAAATACCACAAAGTTTTTAGATTTTGTATATTGCTTCCATTGATCACGTAAAAGTGGAAATTTTTATCCAAATATTCCTTGATAATACTTTCATGCCAAATTTAGATAATATTTGTTAGATTTGCTACTAAATCAACCAATTTTTTTCAAACTTATCTTAATTCTACTTTTAAATACATACGGGATATTTCTAATGAAAGTTTTAACAAATATTAATAGTTAGAAAATTCTAAAATTAGTATGCATGTGTCATAGAGAAACATTCAAATGAAAATTTTCTTATTTAAATGATCGATGGTAGTAACCTGCAAATTTTAGAAATTTTATGATATTTTTTTAATACCAAAATGCAACTTGTGGTTTTTAATTATCAAAACGGAAAACTTTATGGTAATTTTGTGCAACTTAGCCTAAAAACTAACCGATCTCTATATAGTCTGGCTATCGGAAAAGAAAAGAATTTGTAACGGCGGGCTAGTGACTGGAGTAAAGTCGTAACAATGTAGTCGTACTGGAAGGTGCGGCTGGATCACCTCCTTTTCAGGGATGTTTATGTGGATCCCGCCCCCCACCCTCTCTCCCCCTCCTCCTCGCCTTTTTTTTTTCCCGTCCTCTTTCAGAAGATATCTCACGAGTTCTTGGTTCATTTTTGTTAAATAACTTACTCATAGATAAAACTCAGCGTCCACATTATTTTTGCACAATAACCGAACCTTACCCTAAATTGAAGGGTCCAACTCATCTAAAAACTTTGGACTGGTCTGAATCGAATTAGGCATTACTCCATCCAGCTTATATTAAGAATATAATCCACAGAATGTATAAAAACATTAAAATACTCGGGCGGTCATTAGGGGTGGGTAACGGGACGAGTTGGCTCGTCTTGCAAGCCATCTCGCGCAGGTTCAGTCTTCAGGAGTGAGACGAGACGGCCCATGTCCCGCAGCAAGACAAGCGTGTTATGTTTTATCGCTTGATCGCGGGCTTAGACCTCAACCTAACCTGCTCGTGGTATAAGATTAAGTAAAGTGGGTCATGACACGTGTCGGCCCGCTCGACCAACCAAATTTTATTTTTATTTTTTTAAGATTTTGTAAATAGTTTTTAGTTTTTTAAATAGTTTTTAAGTATTGTTTAACATTTAATAATTATATATAATTAACTAACAATACATTTTTTATTAAGTAAAATTGTATATTTGCATAGAATGATAGAGACAAACATCACAAATACAGAGATTTTACGTGGTTTGAAGCAAGTCATGCTCCATAGGCAGCAACTAATTGTTTCACTAGTTTAAAAATATAGTAATAAGTTACAACAAACTTTAAGCAAATAAAAATAAAGAAAATATGTCAACTTGTAATAATACAATTTATATAATTTTATTAAGTAAAATTGTATATTTGCATAGAATGATAGAAAGAAATATCACAAATACAGAAATTTTATGTGGTTTGGAGCAAGTCCTGCTCCACGGATAGCAACTAATTGTTTCACTAGTTTAAAAATATAGGAATAAGTTACAACAAACTTTAAGGAAATAAAAATAAAGAAAATATGTCATCTTGTAACAATACAATTTATTCAATGTTTATATTATGTATAGGCAAAATTGTAAGGGATGAACTCATGAAATCATGAAGGGGAAAAATATTGTACGCGAGCCAACAGGCTGGTTTCAGAAGGCCAGCCCGCTTACATTTAGGCCCAGCTCGCTCGCTGGGCTCCATGGGCCTAGCGAGATGCCGGCCCTCTCATTGGTAGAAGCCAGCCCAGCACGATCATGCGGTCCGCTACGATAGCGGGCCAAATCGGGTCCGTCCTATGTCGAGCCGGGCTCAAGAGCCAGCCGAGCAAGCGGGGTAGTGGGCCAACCCGGCCTAGTGCCTACCCCTAGCGGCCATCCATTGGCATTCCTTAGCTTTCTTAAAGCAAAAGCTAATAATGAGAGAGAAGACGTACGCTTACTCGATCGATTGCGTTCCCTCATATTGGCGAGATTTTTGGCCATTCAAATCTTAGAAAAACTTAAGAGCGCGGCTGCGAATGACTACTTATATAAATTAACAATGTACATAACAAGATATGTGGAAACAAATATCTCCATATGTCAAGAACCAATTAACCAGGGAATAAGCAAGTATGTTCTCAAATATCTTTTCAAACGACGACTTCATTATATATTAAAAGAACGTGATTATCTTGCCATGAATAGAAAGCTAATAATCATTGAACAAAACTAAGAATATTGACAGAAACTATATTCAGTGACAAACAGGTGAACAAATCTCCATCTACTCGATTCAGCGGTACCAAGGGTACTCTTTAACAGGTAGTAAGGAAAAGCATTATAATGACTACACAACTGCACATATCGAAATTAAATTATTAAATTATTAAATAAAAAAACAGAGCAGGACCCTCGTCGCGGCTACAAAAGAACATCTTGAATTAGAAAATTTTGAACGAGATTGAGCGACCACAGGAGCATCAAGCACAACGAAAAATGTACTCTCGACATAATCTATTACCAAACCAACAGTGATAAACAATGACATACAAATAACTGAAAGATGAACAATGTCCAATAGCTTACAAAATGATGGGATAAACAGACTGATGCACTATACAAAACTATGGCGTCTTTCTCCTGCTACGAGAACCGCTCGGGCTTCTTGCACCCGAAGGTTCTACTGAGAATCGCATATCACGGCTCCCCATTGTCAATCTCTCACGAGGAGACTGAGAAAGTAACTGACGATGAGCGTTCATGTTCATCTCGTGCTGACTGATACCTGCTGCTTCGAGTTCTAAAGACTTTGCCTCCTCCATCAGCTGAGCCAACTTTCCCCCCAGTAAAAAAACAAACGGTTGTCAACTACTTAGTAGTTTACATCCAAAAGTATTGAGAAAGGAACAGTGCTTACTCGAATTTCATTCTCCTTCATTTGGGCCTCGAGTGTATTAATCGCAGGACTTAAACTGCAAGCAAGATGGAAGTGATGTCATCAAAAGTTTCGAATACTGTGAGTTAATGGATAGAATTTCACAAAACTGCAATGGAGTCACGAGCTTTAGAATGTTTGGACAATAGTACTGTGAACTTTTTCCGCTAAACTATCACGTTTTGTTGACATGTTTTGGACGGTTTTTTCCTTCTATACTTTAATATTTGCCTAGTGATCTCTGTAGGCTGACAGATATAAATAAGGGTAATTCATATTATCAAGGGTAATTCATATTATCCAAGGCACTAACACTCTTAGCAAGAACCTACAATACTTCATGGTATTTTTTTAATCAGTTTGGAAAGTTGATGGTAGGTTTTTCTACAAGGAAAAATAAAAGGTTTATGGTAGATTTGAACAAATCCCAAAAGATCACGGGAGTTCTGTGAAATCTCTCCCAAGTTAATACCATAAAGCAAGGGAAAAGGATAAAGGACAAATATACTCACCAATATTCCATTAGCTTGCAGAGAGAAGCCTGGTATGTGGATGTGTGATGAATATAAGTGAGTGGGTGTATTTTCCCGTTTCTAGACAAAATAAAGAAACAAAGATCATAAGAAGATTCTAACAATCGCAGAGCACAGAGAGAGACCATAAAAAAAGCAAGTTACCGCATGTTCTGTAAGATCGCTTGATTATATGCTGATCGTTCTTCTTCAAACAGAACACGCTGCATATCAACAAAGGAAGCTAAAGGGCAATCGAGCTCTAACAAAGCCTTGCTTGGAAGGACTTGCAAAGGAACTTCTTTCCTCACATACTCAGCACCACTGCCAGTCCAAATAGAGAATGTAACTTTAGAAGGCTCAAATTTGAACATATAAAAAACACATAATACAGAACAATGCACAAAATGTAAATAGATATTTTACAACTCTCCCAGGAGAATCTAACCAAGTACCCCTACAGTGCATATAGTTTAAGAAACATATACATGTGTCCCTAAATACACATAACTAAAATCTGGCAACATTTTTCACTTTTTTTTGGAGTGTGTCGGGGAAACATTGAGACTGCTGGTTAATTTAAATGAAATTGAAGTTTTAGAGTAAAGTTTAATAAGTGTATCAACTTGTACATATTATGCTAGTAAATGTTAGCTTGTAAGATGTGGAACATCATGTAGCAAAATGTTAATTCTTTATTCCGGATAAAGGAAATAACATTAAAATAAATGGCATTTTAGGGATAATGAGAAATTAGGAATATGAGTGAGAGAGAGAGAGAGAGAGAGAGAGAGTGTGTGTGTGTGTTAGAGAGAGGGGGGAGGAGGGGGGAGGGAGGGAGGGAGTTACAACTGATGAGTTAATGTGGTCTTAAAAATGATGCATACGGGAATCGTGGTCTGTAACAGATATAAACAACTGTCTTCAACTTGAAATATTTGAAGTTGTAGAAGATGGACATTGTGGATTTGAAGGATGGAATTCTTATGTCTCAGTGGCAAAAAGTATCCCATTAAGATATGCCAAAAAGATTAATTTCAATCCTTGCACTCAGTAACATGCTGACAAACTCAAGATTAACATCCAAAAATGTGATATCCTTGTATCCATATTCATAGATCTTCAAACTTTAGCGGCCTAGTATTTTTAAAAGTACTAAAATCATAAACAAGTAATAATTCATTTCTTAAGGTTAACTATAGAAACAATAGCTTTATAAATGTCATCTTCTAATGATCTATATCATGCTTGATACATCAAATATATGGTGCAGAAATGAAAAAGAGGAGACAGATGCTTGCTGATTGATAAGATGTTAGTAGTCATATCAAAACAACCAATAAGAACAATGAGCCAATGAAATCAACTCTGCGCTAATCATGTATGTTTGCATCTAAACATATATAGATCCTAAAGGAAAAAAGGAAATGATATAGTGATATTTCATTCATACCTCATGTCCAGGTTAGACCTGTGCAGAGCTTCCTGCATACTGGCGGTCATATCCATAGAGTCTGCATCAAGTGCATTGTTATTTAAGTTGTCAGTGTGGTTAGGGAGATGAGAATTCTCTCTTTTTCTCTGCTTTCCGGAATAATTGACATCATCATGATAAAAGAACTCCTCCAAACCTGAAGATCCTCCCCCAACCTAAACAAAATGACATAGCTTATCTAGAATCATACTCAAATCAAATAATTATAAATAGCTAACGGAACTTTCATGTAGTCATATCAGAACAATGTCCATTTTCTATTTTATTAAACATCGTCACTATATGAAACACATAGAACAACTAGAGCAACCTCTGGAGCGACTATTTAATACCAAGGGCATAAGATAGCATCAAAAAAGTCTAGAAACAAAAATGGAAAAGAAAAGAAGGAGAATAAAGTGGGAAGCCCGCAAAGCTAAACTCTACAGTAAGCACAACAGTCAAATCGAAGAGTGACCTTATTCATTAATTAGAGCATCATTAATAAAATAAGCATGCCAAGACCATGGAATTCTCAAATCATGGCTTCCAACCTAGGAGTAATATTGACACATACGTAGTGAATCCATACAAACTCGTTATGATTCTCAAAGTCCAATCGTCCATATACTTGGTAAGCTATATATCCATCTTACCTAAGACACTCTGTGTTCGACCTCAGAATATAGAACACAGACATGCTTTTCGAGTCAACAGCACTTACTGTCTTTTCTCTCTCCAAAGAGGTTCTTATTAGTGCAATACTTCCAAAGGAATGATTTCTGAGTAGAACAAGTTGCACCGTAGAGTCAAGCCAACCCGATTTGCAAAACTAAAGCCAAAATTATTCAGCTCTCTATTACGGGACCAGGTGCAGTATTCATAAAGCAATTGTTTCTATTTTGTTAATCTTACAAATTGATTTTTTTTTTCTTTCTAGTTTTTTTTATAGATAAACTAAAATGATATAAAACATTTCTTCATAGCAACAAAAGCCTGTTTTGATTGGGGAACCATAATGGCTACATGAGAGAATTAATTTTCAATAGACTTAACAAAGTTACACACTAAATTGATGACAGTTTTTTTTAATACTTTACTGTGACATAATGAACTGATGATACAGTACAGCATTTATAACAAAATCTAGATGGCAGGCTTTTTTACTACTTTAACATAACATGATAAATTGATAAGAAGTTTAGACATGAAAAAGAGCTGTGCAAGTGATCATTTATTCATAATAATCTTAAGCTACTAAAGTGAATCTTCTAATAGCTCATTTGATAAATATTTATTTCTCTTTATATTGACCAGTGTTATCGAGGCGCAAGGCGCAATGCGGGGCGCAAAGGTCCCTTACGCGCACCATGCGCAAGGCGGCACAACAAGGCGCGCGCCCTGTCACTAACTGAGGCGGGCATAACTCAAGATTAATAATTTGGCGCAAACATCATAAGAACAGAAACATTATAAGCAACATATTAGTTACCTAACATGCGCAAAATCTAATGAGAATATCAACTTTAAATCCCAAATTCAATGCCTAACTGGATTTTTGAAAGTAAACAAAAAAGATACAAGAAAACATGTATTTAAATCCATCAAATACGTGATTAAACGATTTAATGAGCATATGTTAATAAAATTATGCACATATAAAATGACTAAGAATATAATTACGAAACATGAATGTTTTATAATTTTTTGTTAGTATTCTTTAATTGATTTTGCTACTTAGCTTGAAAAAGATAAAGAATGAATGTAAGCAATTACATATTTACATGTTTCCATAATATTGCTAGTTAGCAATGCTAATATAGAGAAGGAAGTTAGCAATTAGGCAAACAAGTATATATAAATACATAAATATTAGTTTCCTTTTTATAGGTTAAAACGATGAAAAAGATGAAAAATAAGATTAGCATAGTAAGAAAGGAGTTATATTGACATGATATAAATATGTAATTAATGTAAATTATTAAAAAAAATAGAAGAAAAAGATATGTTAGCATAACACAGGTGTGAGGCGCACGATGAGGCGGCGCGCATGAGGCGGGATGCGAGGCGCGAGAGCGGGCCGGAGCGAGGCGCAACGGCGAGGCGCGCGCCTCGTTGCGTGCAGGCGCCCCGCTGCTAGCGTGGCGGGGCGCATTTCGCCTAGGCTGAAGCGCCTCACGCCCGGGGCGCGCCCGAGGCGCGCGCCTCAATAACACTGATTATTGACAACATAAGCCTAGAAAACAGTAAATGCCGAGGCCAGCTCATAACTGACAAGGCGCATTCATCGAATCTAACAGGTCACACAACATATAAATAGGCTGGGCAAACTATTCAGAGTTAACAAACAGGAAAGATTACCTACCTTTTTAGGTTTCGTCATTCTTGAATCACTAGTATCTTCAAAGTTGTCAATAGATGTAGACTCTGATGCAGACCTCTCAGAGGAGCTCCAAGATGATTCAAGCTCTAAAAGAGAAGTGTTAGGAACAAGAGAAAGGCTTCTCTGTTTTCCATCCAGAGACTGGAAGGCAATGACTTGAATTCTTCCAACCTGAGGAAATTCACACATTTATTTTGGTTAAAAGAGAGGAAGTTGTAGTTAACAACTGAAATGTAAACAGCACCATTTGACACATACCTTCTGAGCATCTTCACTGAAACAGGAAAATATCAGACCAATGAAACCAGGATCCAACTGTTGATACATTGCCTGAGTCCTGACATCTGTAAACAGTGGATTTAATAGTTCCAATAAGGCAACTAAGAAATATTAAGAGACAGCAGTTAGCAATCTATAAATTTTCAAATCAAGGAAAATAAAGACACATGAACCAAGTGAGCGATGATTGACGAATATACAGGGAGAAGAATATAACAGGCAACTCATAATATAGATGCACATAACCCTTATTTTTTTTGTTCTTGATTAGAAATCTCAGACTCCTTTCTCCTTTATCAGAAGTTCTAAGACCAACATGAAATATCAGCACCACCAGCTGATCTTTTTTCTACCAAAATGATTGAAAAGTGGACCAAATTTTACGACCAGCTATCAATCTCTGGTTAACACCTTGAGATGGTGGATAATTCATGGACATATAAACTGAGGACAAAGGGGTTTCCTCCAAATCCATGGAAGAAAGTTGGTTGAAAGGGAAACCTATTTTATTAATCAGCAAGCATAACTCTTACAACCACCTAAAAACTCTCTCGAATACAAATGGACAGAAAAAGAAAGAGAACAATATTGCCTATAGTGGAGGAGACAATTTAAATAGAAATAAACGAGCCTGAGACAGATGATACTGCCGCAAGAATGAACTTACAATCCATATAATCAGTAAAAGATGATAAAAGCTCAGGCTTAAAAGAAGAGGAGATGTCTTCATGGGGATAAAATTCTAGAGGGTTTGAGATTGTGAACGCCTCTTAAATCCTATTATGGTGGACCTCTGATAACACTACATATATTCCCCATTGTCAAGGGCCTTCCCCAAGGCCCTGGACTCCAGGTGTTACAGTACTCATCCCCAATCCAGAAGCTTCATGCATTTTACTTAGCCCCAAGGTATGCACATTTGAGGATTGAGGTAAAGAGAATTGTAGGAAGTGAGAAAAGTAAAAGGCACTTTGAATACCAAGTATATCCTGTGAGCTTGAGATACTCTCATATTAGAATTCGGTTACTGCCCTACTGGGTTCAGGGTCTGAAAATCTTGGAAAAATACAACACATCATGTTGACCTTAGTATCAAATTGAAATCATATCTTGACCATTACCAGTGGGCATAGGAATCAGTGCAGAACCACATAAATAATGATCTCAACATATTTTTGCAACACTAAGTTTTTCTCCTACCTTTATTGCAGAACTTTTCATAGTAAATATTGCTGTGAATCACAAGCTGCCATTAGTTTGACAAGAAATGGCTTTCCATGCGAAATAAAATTCCAGTCTAAAAAATGCCAAATCAAAGGAAACCAAAAGAATAATCTAATTATCACCTAAGCCTCCAAAAGTAACTTGTATTCAAGATACTATAATCATGTTGAATTGCATCCTAGTTCTGAGAGTTTCCACATCACATCATTTGCAGATAAGTTTACATATAAACACGCTACACACACATGTATGCATATAATATGCACCCTTAGAGCTTCACATGACAGAATGATCAATGGGCCAATAGAAAAATAATCCAGTAAGTTAACACCAAAAATAGGATCATGGTAAACTTTTAGTCACTGACAGATTTTGCTTAGTATATAGATCACTAATACAAAACTTTATTCCGCTAGTAGAATAGTTAAGAAACAGTCAAAAGATATGTCAACTTACCTACATGAGATGGAAGGACTGTAATGTGTGGATGAGAGTGGTACCATCCAATCACCCTTGTGGGTCTTCCCGTTGAAATTGTCATATTGTGCTAATAAGTTAAGTTCAACAACGTATAAATTTCTATAGGAGATAAAATAGGACGAAAATAACATTCTACAATAAAGCAAAGGATATCTCAGCCTGAGCCGACGCTGCAGCCAACTGTTCTGGCTTAACTTCCACACGGTCCTTTCGACGATCAGATCTCACCTGTGGGGATGCACCCCATATGAGAGCAACTGCACCCCCGCTGTTCACAGGCTACAATGGTATTTTAATACAGAATGAAAAGCAACATTCAACAGTTATAGAGGCTGAGTATTAAAAAGTTAAATTAGCAAACAAACAACATGCACTATATAAGGATTAAGGAATAGGATGCAGTTACGGTCATTACATAGTAACTTTTAAAGTAGAAAAGCAAAGATACAAAAAAAAACTCGAAGATAATCTAATGATTTAACATTACATGGTAATTATTGCCATTGTTGTATCATAAAGATACATTGAGGCAGATAGAAGAGATCAGCTCAGTGCACCCTTGTCAACATTGAAAAATACAGTTCTAAACTGAAGTTTAGCAGCAATATATTTAGCCAAGAAAACCAATAATGCACAAATTTAATCATCTACAAAATAAGTATCTACTCAATTAACAGGTTACCAGCTAAGAACTATGAAAAGTGGGGATCGAAATAAAGCTACTCATTGGGTAGGGAAACAAACATGCACAATCAATTGCATACTTCCTATATCCATGTAACCCTCCAAATACCGCTCAGAACAAGATCTAGTCCAAATTTAAGAAGAAAACTTAAATTTTGTCATACACAAGTGTTTTCATCTCTGAGGACCAACAACATAAGGAAAACAGCAGAAGTTAAAGATACCCTTCACAGAGACAACAAACAAGTTGGACTTCCATTTTAAGCATCTAACTAGACCGGATGGCTCAATTTTCAAGGTCAGAATGTACAGCATACCTCAACTGTGTATAAAAGGGAACTTGTAAAGTCCGCAGAGAAATGGTAGATAACTAGATATAATGTCTAAATTACTGTTTATGGACTTCACTGCCCTTACCTTTGAGGAAATTGGCAAACTTCCTGTTTACATTTGACATGTAAAATGTGGAATGAACCAAGTATGCAGACGACAAGTTTGCCATCAAGTAGAGCTATCAAACTTCATGGAAACCAGGTTTCTAGATCAACCAAAAGTGCCTACCATGACAGAAACTTATGCAAGCCCAATGAAGAAAACCAGTCCCAAAATCAACAGAAACCCAATTTCTTTTTAAAATTTTCTCAACGTGTGTCTTATGCTTGCTTCATTAAGTGATTCTCCATGTCTGTTCTCAATATCTTAATTTATCATATAACTTTCCAGAAATATAACTTCTAAAGCTTATAAAGTCCTTATTATAGAAGTTCCCAATTTGCCAGTAAATAACATTTAGAAGACTTTAATCAATTAGATAAACAACAACATTTTGGGGTAGGATACATGAATCCTATTCTTTCATTCAGCTCCGTCAAAGGTTGTCTCCTCCCTCCTCCATTAAGATAACCATTGTCAACTCTATCTTAATTGTTTCCAACAACATAATATTAGGCCTCATTCTCTCCTTGTCCCGTTAATTTAATTTGATGATCTCTCTCAATTGATGTGTGATTGGTGTGTTAAGTAAGTGGCCACCGTTGCACAAGGTCAACCCATCTCAATCAATTCTCTCTCATTTTATCTGGAGCAACTGCTAAGTTCGTATGAGTGCACTCATTATTTATCTCCGCTCATCTTCAAACTCTAATATCTATCTAGTTTAGCAATTAAATAATATAATAAGGAAATTTATTATCAAACAGAAGGAAAAATAATAATAAGCATTGAATTGCAAAAGTCGGTTTAAGTGAACAATAAATTCATTCCTAGTTTCTAGCATTGTTACATACAAAATTGGAAACCAAACCACCAAATGTCAACTATCCCAGTCCCAATATCAACTCAACGTACTTAAAAAAAAGTAAATTTTGCAAAGGCCCACTAGAACCCAGCATTCAAATCAACTCAAAACCTCAATTTGGAGCAATTACAAAGCTCTGATTAACTATACAAGCATTCAATTGCAAAACTATCTCAATGCCTACATAATTCTACGTGCAAACAGAACCCAACCCCATCAAGGACAAATGAACTCAAAACCCTACAAGAACCAAACTTTTTCGCGAAGGAAACAAAACCCCCCAAAATCAACAAAGAGTTAGGGTTTTTACTTTGATGTCACCAAAGAGGAGGCCCATGATCTCCTCGGTCTCGGTGGTTAGAGAATGAGAGAGACAAGTAAGCCACACCTCCTCGCTCATCTTCACCCCTAACAGAGACATCTCCTTCTTCTTCTCGCTCGAAGAGGAATTGGATGTTGGATTCCCCTTCGAAAATCGGAAACCCCAAAGATTGCTTTTTTCGAAGCTTTGGGTTTTATAATTATTGTAATAGATCGTGTTGCTATTGTGAACTCCCAAGCGCCTTTTTTTTTTTTTTTGCCCCCCTTTTTTTTATTTCTTTGTACAATGAATATACAAATGTAGTTTTTGGCCGTGGGGACATTAGATCTGCTGTAATGCGAGGAGGACGTAATTGACTTACACCGCGTCTGTTGGAGGTTCGGATCCGAAGTGGTGTGTGTGGGTCCTGAATGTCAGTGGGTTTGTGAGAAATACTGGACCCGAGGAAGTGAATTTCTTTGAAGTGTTAGTTACAGAAAAGCCCCATGAACTTTTTGCGGTGTTCCAATGAACCTCAAGCAACTTTTTTTATTAGTCCAAACCCCAATGAACAATTTTAGGAGTTAATGCACATAACCCCATGAACTTTTTTATTTTACTAATTCTTATCTAAAAAATTATCTTTAAATCTCCGTCTTAGCACCATCAGATAATAAGGAAAACATGTAAAAATGGCCAATTTGCTGATAGTATGTTTATAGGTAGTAAAATGCATAATCTGACCCAACTCTCTCAAAATTAATTCTCTAAATTCCTCTCTGCTTCGTGTAAGTCACCTGGCCCCCAAATCTTTCAAGTTTTGAAGAAATCAGTCTTTAAACTTTTTCAAAAGTGAATCCCCAAATATTCATATTGTGAAATAAGTCCCTCAAATCTTGCAAATGTTTTGAAAGTAGGCCCCCATATCTTCATGTTTTGAAATTCCTTAGATGGGAAGCATTCTAGCATTAGTCTCCCAAGTTAAAGGTCCACCCCGATTTCAAAATTGATATCAAAGCTTGGGACTTTCAAATTTCAATTGTTTGGGGGAACTAAAATCAAAATATTAAAGATTTAAGTGACTGATATCATACTCCCTTTAAAATCACGAGTTTGAAAAAATCTTTTCATAGTCAATATTACCCTTCATTATTTTGAATATTTCATATACATCTTAATCTATCCTAATTATAATTGTATCATATCGTAATTCTACGTGAACTATCTATAGCTCAATAATTTAAAAAATAATATTAATAAAATATGTAAAATAGCTTTACGGTATTAGTTTGTTAAGATAAAGAAATTATATGTAGCTAATATGCTATAATATATGAAGTATTGCAAAAAAACCTAAAAAAACCTAAAATTTTTAAAATTATAAAAAAACATCTTGACGTTTTAAAACTTAAAACAACAAATATTAATCAAGAAATTAGTAGTAGTCTATGAAGAAATTAAAACTTGTGGCTAATACTTGAATGTCTCAAAAATTATAGAAACACGCTTAAAAGTTTAAATTACAAATAAGCACCCTCAAATTCTAAACTTTTAAAACTTTCAAACTGTTGGAATCATGACATACAATGCAGCGGAAAAAGCATATCATGACTATTAATCAAAATTAATTAAAT